CAGCTTCCACAGTGGCCCCTGCCCCCTGCCCCTGGGGGTTCCAGACTGCTGGGCAAGTAAAAGCGAGGCTGCCCTGCTGGGGGGATGTGCCCAGTGAGTGGCACCCTAGTGGAGGGGCGAGTGGGGGGTGGGGGCTCACGGTGGACAGAATGGATGGGTGCAGGGCCAGCAACGAGTAGTGCCTGAGCCAAGCTGGAGAGCGCCCACCCCTCTTGCAGACCGGGAGCCCAATCGCAGCCGGATGGAGAGCGAGCTTGCAGAGGATGCCCGGGTTGCGGAAAAGCGGCCGTCTGCCCACGTCGGGTGAGTGGCCACTTCTGCAGCTGCCCTGGGAAGGCCCTGGGTGGAGGCTGGGCTGAGCACCCAGCCTGAGTGACAGGCAAGGCTCTGGTGGCAGGTGCTAGGTGGGCCGGCACCCCCAGCCCGGGTCACTGCACATCTTGGGTTCCACTGGCCAGTTTGGGAGGTGTCAGTGGCCATAAACAGGTGACCAGAAAACACCCCAGTGTCACTTCCCGAGGCTCTCTGAGGATATGGCAGGTGACATCCTGGATCCATATGGACCTTGTTCCTCCACCACCACCACCACCACCACCACCATCATGTTCCTCAGGATGGTGCCCAACCTTCCTCAGGCTGCCCCAGGCCATGGGTACTGGTCAGAGCACCCCGGGGCCTTGCTGCCTCTACTGATGCCCCTCGTCAAAGGCGCCTGGTCAGGCCCCTCCTTTCTGCCCCTGCAGGAGGCCCAGCGTCGAGCCCCAGCCCTGCTCTGTGCGGGGGCCCTACTGCGTGGACGAGAACACCGAGTGCAGAAACCTCTACCTGGACCTGGCTGGGATCGAGAACTACACCTCTAACTTTGGCCCAGGTAGGTAACGGAAGACCCTACACCACCTGGGCCCAGGTGCTAGCCAAGCGGAGGGCTCTGGGACCCACACATGGTTGGGGCCAAGGGTGCCCCACCCACTCAGAGGACCTGGCCCACTCCTCGGCACCAGCCAGTGCCTGGAGCAAGGCTGTGCATGTCCAGGTGTGCATGATGTACCCAGCCCCAGAGAGGCCAGACCTCGGGGGATCCCGGAAGCCCTGCCCCATGGGGGAGGGGTGTTTTAGTGCAGAATTACCAGCTCCCTCAGAAGCATTGGGCACTCCACAGAGTGGACAGAAGCAGGCCTGCCCACCACTGGTTCCTTCTGACTAGTAGCACCCTTTGTGGCATTCAGTAGGTTGCCATGGTGCCTGGGCCCTATCCTAGGGGTGACCTGGGTCCCCTGACACCCTGACTCTGGGAACTGACTCCCAGTAGGAGTCCAGGGCTGGGCTTCAGGGCCTGTGCCTGTCTGACCTCTGACCTGGCCACCAGGCTGGCCTTGGATGGGAGCCCCTGGTGAGGCCCCCCCTGTGGATCGTGAGCACGTCACTTCCGGGAAGAGGAGACAGGAATGACCCCTGTTCTGGGCCCCGCATGGGCCCATCCTCTGTCCCGTCTGTAGGGCTGCCGGAGCAGGCCAGGCAGGAGCAGCAGGGCAGGGCCGCCTATCTCCAGAGCAGGTCCCGCTCCCAGGAGCCGGACACCCATGCTGCCCATCACCGCAGGTCCCAGATGCTAGCTGACCATGCCATGCCGCTTCCCGAGCCCACTGTGAGGGCCCTGGACATACAGCCCCGGCTGAAGGGGCAGGAGAAGCCGTTCCTCAGGTCCCCCAAGGGCCCAGGGAAGCCACTGGGGCTGGCAGGCAGCAGCAAGCTGGGGAAGGCCCTTGGCTACTACCTGCCGGCTGCCTCGGCCTCCCAGGCCCCTCAGGACGGCCACCACCTCCCACAGCCCCCTCCACAGCCCCCACCGCAGCCCTACGGCCACAAGCGATACCGGCAGAAGGGCAGGGAGGGCCCTTCCCCACTCAAGGCCCCGCACGGCCAGCCTGTGGTGGAGCACGAGGCCTGGCGGGACCTT